CAGCAGCCTTAGTTTTTTCCAGGAGGTCTCCCATCCAGGTACTGACCAGGCTCACACCTGCTGGGCTTCAGCGGGCTGCCAGTTGAGAGTTGCAGGGTGATATGGCTGCTGGCAGCTTGTTGTACTGTAGCTGCCCAGCCTTGTTGCTGAAACCGATCCCCTGACTTCTTTCCAGAAACAGCTGGATGAGATCCTTGGATCAATGAGATATTAACTCCCAAACAGGCTAGATGGGTCGAATGCCCTCCTCTTGTTTCAACTGTTCTTATGTCACATTAGGAAAGGTTTGTAACAAGTGCACTCAAAAACTAATCTGATTCTAGGTTGTTAATCTGCATAATTTGGAGTGTACTTGTTCAAGTGTAATTAATTGAAAATAGCTTTTTAACACAGCTCATATAAATGGAGTACACATCCATGTGTTTAAAAATACTTCATGTGGAACACTGCTTGTGTTTTGTGTAATGTGCATGAAATTAATAACCTAAATTGCTTCTGTTTATGTAATTGGTAGTGCCCGTCATATTCTATAGAAACTCTACTTTATGAGAGAATGATCTACAAAAATAGATTAGAAAAACACAATAATTATAATTCTTTGTATTTATCAGTGGTGTGGTGCATTGCAGAAATAGTCATGCAGAAATAACCTGTTAATGGATTTTAACTGATAAAGACTAAGAACAATTTGTATAATATATGGAGAATTATATTAAGTAACATTATCATGTTACTTGTACATGAAATCCAAGCGCCGATCTTTCTACACAAATTCTTCTACACAGCAACTGTCATGACATTTTAGTTTGCAAAATAACTTTTTTCATTCAACATAACTGCTGCTCTATATGTTGAACTATTCTGTCCAGTTCCTGTGATTCTGTTTTCATTCTGCATGTTTTATTATTGAGTTGTGCTGATTTCACAGCTGATAGGAGGAACATGTATGATGATGACAGCGATGACCAGCTTACTGTCCCTGATTAAGCATAAAGTGCACACGATGGACATAATAACACGATGGAAAAATAACAGAACAGAAATTATGGAGGATATTAATTTTTTTTTTTGCTCTAAAGGTTCTGCCCCACCATAAGATTTCTATCTATCCTAAATCTGAATAAGTAGCATTTGTCGAGTACTGAATGTTTTTCTAGAGGAAACAAATTGCAGCAAGCCGAGTTTATTCCTTGCACAATATCAAGCAACTGTGCAAACCTATTTTACCTCTCTGCCTCTGGGGTGTCCAAAAGCTGCCCTCTAGTGGCCCACACCAGTATTAACACCTTTGATCCCACGGTCCTGTTACAGTGAGTAAGTCATATAAGGAAGGCAGCGGTGGCACACTTGGGCTGGAAGCTAGGGAGTGGGTGTTACTCACCTCTGGGGGTTGGGCTCGTTGTGCTTGTCACGCTCGTGCTTGATCATTCTGTACCTCCCGATCCGCACATCTGGCCGAGAAACCTTCATGCCATTGAGGGTAATCCTTCACACACAAGAACAAGAGGAAATCAGAACCGAATCAACGGGACACACACAGGCACGGACATTCAGGCACAGGGCAAAACCCTACACAACTACTGTATGAAGATCTAGGAAAATTCCTACAGACATAAACATGAGGCAGAACTGGTCGTTGTTGGTATTTTGAAATTACAAGTAAAAAAAACTTGTCCTGTACCAAATACAGATGAGAGTGATTTTAGTGCTTAAATAGATTCTATTAATCGCTTAATCAATCACAATCCAGAACCCATCTTAAAGATGTTAAAGGACAACCACAGTTTTCATACATTTACACCATGAAGGGCATTAAAAGAAGAAATATAAAAAACCTGTCAAAATTCTAGTATATGCTTAGTACAAGGAAGTTAAGCAGTAACCTTGAACCGCACTAATACAGAGGAGGAAATTGTGTATCAGAAAGGTATTCACGGCAGATTTGATTTCCTGGTGGAAATACTTTGCGGTTTTAACAACAATGTCTCAGCGTTCCACAAGAAAGGAATGTTATTACTCTTTGCATTTGTTATCTCTGGGATGAAATGTTATAACAAATGTGACCTGAAGTGTAATTTCAGGGAAAATACCGGGGCGTTTCGTCAGGTAGGCTGCCAGCTGCCAGCAGGGGAGAAAAACTGACCCGGTTCGCCTTTGCTCCTTGCTCATTAATTCCATTTCCTGAGCAGTACACCTCCCCAACACTAAAAACATACCTCCTCTGGCACATCACCACTGAAAGGATCTGAGCCTCCAGTAGTCTTAGGATGTTTTTTTCTAAAGTAGTTTTTTGATTAATCTTTATTTTTCAATTAACAACTAAACTTAAAAGTCTTAAGACTTTGGTTATTTAAAAGCCCTTCTATGAAAGCTGTGTGTCTTGTTAAATACAGTATACTGTATTATATGCATTTACAACATACTATTTTTCATTGTATTGTTTTATCACAATTTATATCATTCTGAATCAAAGTACGTCCATCATATCATTTTTTATGTCCAGTGGCATATTGTGTTATATGCTTTCCAAACGTGTTGTCCGTGTTTTCTTATATAAAGATTTTTACTGGATATGATGGCAATATTAAATAAAAGGCACAATGGCTAATCTAAGCTTCAGGAAAGGAACAGATCCATAGCTTGGCACACAGCTTTTAGGTCTGATTATATTTAAGAAACTCGCTTACAGTATGGCAAAGAAAACATTTTGTTCCATCCTATCACTGTTCCACGCAGAGATAGTAAATCAAATCATAAACGTAAACCTTCAGGCAATGTCAGATTTCACTTTCAGACACAATGCAACTGCAGGAAACAGATTATATTATGACCATCATGATTTGAAACGCACATTTCTTTACCTGAATGCCCCATTTCATGATACGAAAGAAAAAAATGAATGTTGAATATTGTAAGGCATAAATTCTGAACAAGGGCAGTAGCAGCATGAGCAATTACAGCAACAGCCAAGTATCCACAACAAACCTTAGCTTCATGAAACATTAAACAAGAAATCTGTCTAATGCTTCAACTTCATGCAGCACATCTGTGCACAGGAGGGTGGAATTGGATAGGTATGTCTGATTTACTAGGTGATACCCATGGTTTCATTCAGTTATTTGTACATCCTTGTTTTGCAGGCTAAAACACATAACCTAATGGTGGTCAATTCTGTGCTCGCATCAGATGACAGAGCAAAGCCCAGCTTCACCAATTCTGCCCTAGCGCCTTGCTGACAAACACAAATCGCTGTCGCATGATAAATGTGTTAGTGATCTAACTGCAGTAAACTCTAACAAGATCATGCTGGTGGAAGCACGAATGAAAACAACAAAAGGCCTTTATTTTTAAAACATATTTCAAGTTTCCTTGAAATGTTCCATTTTCCATTGTTAAAACCTAAGCTACGCCTTGGGTCTGTTTCATAGATCCTTGGGAAAATTATGATGTTTGTCATAGTGTCTTATCCTTGGACATCTAATTTTTCGAGCTACAGTGCAACAAAACCTGATCTTCCTTGCAATCCCCATTGCTGCTTAAATCAATGAAAAATGATTAACAACCCCTCTCCCACACACACATCAAATAAACACAGTAATATGACATCAATAATACAGAAGTGGGAACGTCAGTTTTTTCAATACTCTTTCTTATCCAGAATATGAAGATACGCTTTCTTCATATTAGAGAAAACATGTGGATGACTGAAGCTGACAGTAGCACGCAGCAGGCAACACAAAAGCAATAAGGTGATGTACAATGTTTCAAGCCACTGCTGCCCAATGGCAGTGAGTCAAATGCCCCAACTTTTTTGACATCAGGACCTGATACCTCTAATTTCCTACTCTCATGTTTTGCTGCTGGAAGACCATTTCGAATTTTGCAGTCAGTCTACACAGATCTTCTTCAAATTGAGTCAGACAGGTGGTGGTGTACATTTCTTCTATTTAAAGGAAAGCAAGAAAAAATGCAGGGGTCAAAGAGGGTCTTGCAGTACAACTTTGACTCTTACAGTTCAGTGAAGAGAACAAGCCTTTTTGCAGACTACGTTGTTTTCAAAGAGGATGCTTTATCTCTGCAGATCTTGTTATTCCAAAACTTTCTTATGCTCTGTTTTGGTGCATTACACATCCACGTTATGATAAATCACATTACAGCATCCAGCCATCTCGCATTAACATTTTTTTTAAAGTTAAAACACTGTAGACGGAAACAAACATTTCCACCGTAACCTGTGACAGACAGATAATTAATGTAATTTCTGTATTTTGATGCTGCAATGTTGAACTTTGGGGTGTCCTTAAAAATAAAACCGTGTATGCAAAAACAAGTATGATACCCATACTTTCAATTATCCTGTACTCCTGAATTTTAGTGTGGGCTGTGCTTCAGTTAATATAAAAGCAGGAAACAAAGAATGAAAATAGATCAGCTGGAGAAGTGAGAAATTACTTCACCAATTAAATTAAAAGAGACAATCAAGGAGTTAAGATGTGGAATTTAGCCAGAAGAATGTGGTTTAACCTACTTAATTCAAGTACCATGGGATCTTTAATGACCAAGTAGTCAAAATCTCAGTTTAACATCTTATCTGAAGGACAACACATCCTACAGTGTAATTCAATCAAACATTTTCATAGTTTTTCCTATGAGTTTTAACCTTTGCTAAATAGCTGCTCATAGGATTCCAGTGTACAATTAAAATACATAACGCTAGTTGATCCTAAATTCCAAAAGAAGGCTTATATCAGTGTGAAAATGTTCTGACAATGCTCAGAAATTAAAGTGGATAAGAAAAGTGTTCAATACGTATGCGTGTAAATATTGTAACGAAGAAATGCAGGATAGGTTATTGAAAAGCTCATAAAGAACTCTGAAATCTCCCAAAACTGTACTGGGGATCCTGATTTTGAGTATGATATTAAAGGGTTTATATACACCATCAATATAGTACCTTTTCTATTGAGAGAAAGAAAAAAAATTTCATACAGCTCATCTCATTATGTTGAGTAGATCGGTACTCTGTTGTTGTTGCTTGTAATCTCTTAAGTAGAATGTACATCTCTCTTAAGTAGATTGGTTGTGTCTGCGCTAGAGGTCTCAAGGTCATTTTCTGTGGCGCACGTTGGCTGTTTGAGGAACTGCCAGGGTGCTGCTTTACATCAACGATAGGCACATGCTTATATTTACACTGTAAATCACTTCAAGAATGCCTTAACTAGTAAGAGAAGGCATTTAATATTACATTGACTGGCGTTTTGAAGGCACTCTTTAAGCTGTGCCAATTAAAAGGAATATTTCATGCTTTAAAAAAAACCCAAATTCGTGAATCCTCCTGTGAGAAAGTAATTCTGGTTTGTTGAAGCAACCCTTCTGATAAATGATGGCAGTTGCATCACTGCTCAGTGGGACATGAAAACTAAACTCAACAGTTTATCAATCTCACACGTCACTGCTCATTGTATTCAATTATTTGCATACAGACCATTGCCTCACATTATGACTGTATATTAGCACGTTATTTCCATATACTTATCTTGTAAAAAAAATCTCATTTACAAGTTCAAATGTACTGAATTGGAACGCCATCCATATTTAGACGGCCTCATAAAGATTTTTCTATTTTTGACGTTTATAAATGAGAAAAAGACATTTCAGGCAAACATTCAGGGTGCAAAGCAATATTTCTGTAACATCATTCCCCCAGCTTGATAGTGTCCACAATGCAATTACTGTAGTCTCTTACACCACACCAGCTTCATTTTTCAAAGTAAATCTGTGGATACTTCTTCAAGCATATGACTGTGAAAAATAACATTTTCTACAAACATTTTAGTAAAAAGCAATACATGTTACCTGAAAATTGTCTCCCTTTTACTTGTGTGTGGAGATTAGAAATAAGAATTTTAAGGTACCCTCTTAATTGAATAACAGGATGAGAGGACCTACTCCTTTTAATGGGATGGCTGTTTTTACAAATTAAGATGCGTGAAAGACATTCCGACCCGAGCCTTATTCCACTAACAAGACAGAAACAATTCCGTATGTCATTAAGAATATAGTTTGAAAAAAGGGTACAAGTATTTGGTTTAAAATATTTGTTATTATCCATTTAAACTTTTCCCAAGTAAAACAAATGTTCTGTCAAAGTTCATTTAAGTCCCCAGCAATTTTGTAGTTTAACAAAACAAGCACAGAATATTAATAAAAGAGGAGTATAACTTTTGCCTAAACTTTATTTTTCAATGATGGACACAGTAAATAAACTCCACTGTGATTTCTGTTCTTAACACTAGTTTTAACATTTCAAGACAAACCAATTAAGTTAAAATTAACATGCAAGCCAAATGGGAATCAGGACTAAGAATTCAGTTGAAGCACAGGGCCCATTGAAATAGATTCAGAGATCTTTGCTGTGCCCCTTCATTAACACCTAAATAGATTTTATTGAAAGCAATCCTTGTTTCATGCAGACTAAGCAATATT